TATTCCCATTCCCCATTCTTCCTTAAAACCTCCTGCCTCCTCTTACATTCGTATACAAAATAGAACCATAAATTTTTTTCTCAGAGAGAAAAATGCTGGCATTTTATCTCCTTTAGAATAGGAACACCTCAGTTGAAATGAGCATTAGAAACATACAGTCTAAAAAATGTGATCTTCCTCATCGCTTTACAAACTCACTTTTTTTTTTTTAACCAACCTTCATTCCTTCTGGATTTAACTGCTTTTAAAAGCAACCAAATCTGCAGATATTTCTCAGGTGATGTTCGCTTGCCTAGCATCCAAGAAGCCCTGGCATCAATTGCCTCCCTTTTGTAAAATCATAAAACTGGGCATGGTGGTGCACTTGTGGCCCATGGTCCACATAGTGGGTATGTGAAGAGCATGGTCTATGTGAATCCCTGTCTCAATTTTAAAAGGCACAAAGTTAAACAGACCTACTTAGTTATTAGTACATTCAATTACTATTAGTGCCCTTTTTGCTGTTAGGTTTTTTTGTAAGTACAGTGTAGAGCATTTCAGTATCATCAAAGCTTAATTTGGAGATTGTATTGGACCTCAAAATCTAACCTGAATATCTATCTAACCCCATTTTCTCTTAGGAAAACACAGTTCAACTGAGACTTACTACACATTGCACTAGTTCGTGAACAGTATGGCCTGGGTGAAATTTAAGGTTACTATTTCTCTTCTCAGGTTTTTCCAGGCGAAAAGATAAACGGACCCTTCAGTCAAGCATCCCACCCCTCTGTCCCTGGAGCTGGCGTGCTGATGACATTCCAGGGATTCAGCAACAGAGTGATCACCTCTCAGGTAATTTCACTCTGGCTCCCTGTGTTGGTTGTTATGACTATGTTCAAGCCTCCTTGCTTAAACAGGGCTCAGTGTTGAAATCTATCTCCATGGTTCCTGCACTGGGATTGATGTTCGTTTTCAGGTCCCTAGATTAACTTTGTCTCAAACAGAAGCCAGCCCACACCATTATTCCAGCACACGCCTGTGCACAACAGCGAGATAGCACCAGTCTACATATAACATTCTGACACAGGAGGACAGACAAAATGGACTTTCTCTCCAATGCTCACCTTCCAAATAGAAGGCAACTGTGTCCCTTCAAATTCCTGTACTGGATACAAGATTTTCAAGAACCATGAGTTTACACTCTGGCTGTAATTGTCAGTCTATGCTCACCAGGGAAGCCTGGCCTGCCTTGTGGTCTCCTCTGAGGCATCCTCTCCCCATCCCTGGAGCTCCAGGAATGTGCTCTGCTCCCTCCTTTGCTCTGTGGAG